GGGGGGGGGGGGGGGTGGTATAATAAAAAGAGGTACTCTTAAAGTTGAATAAATTTTGACATTACACATGATAGACGGAGTATAATATCTTATTACACCACAAAAAATTGGTATCAGTACTTGCCAATCCGCTCGCATGTCCGTTCATTGACCGAGAAACTGCTACGTACTACTCTCCCGTCGTCCAAGGGATACTCCTCACTGTCAAGCACGGCCTTATAATCTCCTCCCAGTTGCAATAGGAGATGGTAGACATAGAAGCGCCCCATACTCCATGCTTGAAAAACAGCATCGCAGCGAAGATCCTCGTGATTGGGAGAGACTCCAGCTTCCACCAAAGCCCGTACAGTCTGCGCAAAACCCATCAGCGCACTGATTGTCAAAGCAGAGTTTCCCTTTGTGTCGGGGTCTCCGGGATTAATACGACCTGTTCATCTCAAACCCATGTTGGAGTAGGATCCTCAGTTAAACGACCCGGGGCTCCATTTATCGCCGACCGAAAAGCAGTAAATGGATCGCCGCCGTATTCGAGGAGGGTGAGAACTGCTTCCTCATGTCCTCGAGAAGCGGCTATGCGAACGGCACAATCTTCGTGTGGCCAATGTCGCAGGCGATCTCAGCACCATGCTCCAGAATGACGGGTGTATGGCCATGCCGGGCAGCCATCTGAAGGGGGGAGGTGCTGTACTTTGCGAGATACATGAGTTGAGCATTCGCGTCAGCTCCATTTCTAAGCCTCATCCGCAAGAGCGATTCGCGCCCATGATATGCAGCCTCCCACACCACAACCTTCCGCAGTTCAGGTTGAAAATCCCATAATGTACCGTATGCCTGGAGAAGCGACATGAGGATATCTGTATGGCCCCAACGCGCTGCTGCGAGGAAGACTCGAAACAATTCATTTTGGTAGGATGAAAGCCTGTGGTCGGGTTGCAAGAGGAGGTGGACAATGTCCGTATATATATCGGTCAAGAGAGTCATTCCAAGGCCAGCCATCATGTTCCACCGCCGCGGCCTGATAGTAAATGTGGGTCGGCGCCACTTTCAAGGAGATATTCTCATCCTGTGTTGTTCTGTTGGTCGTCTATACGTACATCTGTTGGATTTACACGTGGTGATTTTTTGCAAGACTGTGGTGTCAAATGTTGGATTAAATCGCACAATTCAAAGTTGTTCTGAGGTTGGCCATAGTTCATATAAAATCATTGGCTGTAGTAGTACTTGAATTCTCCGTAACTCATTAGCAGCTTACTTATTACGAAACAGTATACCACAATGTCAACTACAATGTCAACCACAATGTCAGCCACAACCTCTGCTGTCCCATCTGGCACAACAAATCCTTCCACTAATAGTCTCTACAGTATTGCTAATAGTGGAAACCCTGCCTTAGCACACCCTTTAGTAACTGCTGCTCCCAGTATAGATCTATAGCAATATAAATAGATACTATGGCCCAGGGTGCCAGAGTAATTTCAGGACCTGTAATACTAATGCTGGTAGGGGTGGTCTACTAGTATTAATAGATGGTATATGCAGCTCCACCAGTGCTCCTAAAGGCATAATATGCAATAGGTTAGTATTTAGTGTGTATTACTCTAAGTACAGATATTACAGAGTCATAAATGTGTATTATGGGATGGAATGCCAGGCAGCTTTTAGGACTTATACATAGGGAAGAGTGTATAAGTTATGCTGGTAAGATAGAGATATATAGTAGAGATAAGAAAAATAAGGTTCAAATCTCGAAGTTTCAGACCAAAGTTCAAAGATGATGATAACAAAGGAGACAGCAAAGACCTAACATTCCACAGGCATCCAATTCAAATAACAGGAATACAAAAAGTCCATCAATATCATCTCATCCTTCCCTGCTGGCTTACAAATACTGTGACTCAGTGAATTTCATCCCACACCTCGTTGGTGTAGACCATGCAGTTGTTCCAAGCAAGATTGTAACTAGGGTGTTTGCGAGCATACTCCAAACCTGCAAAAGTCAGATACCTACAGATAGCCACATCAAGCAAAAACAGTCCAATAGACATACCTTTGTTGGTTATAAACGCATCCGTCGACGTTGTTTCCCCAAGGTACTCGTACTTACTGTCCTTGCTCGTGTGCACCCATTCCTTCTTCTTGTAGTTGAAATAGTGGTTTGCCCACCAGAGATTGATCACCTGAGACTCCACCGTTCCACCCACGGGTGTCTGCCCGAGCTTTGTTTCTGCCTCACTGCTGATCATCTCGAAGGCTTTGCCGTCGAAACCCTGGCGTCCGGAGCGCGTAGGAGAGTTGAAGAACTGGCCGACGATGAGCCGCACGTGCGAGTAATCGGGCAGACACATGTATTCTCCGTAGACAGGGGCCCATTTCTCGCGGAAGGCGTAGCGTTTGCCGTGCTCGAGCTGGACGCCCTTTTGGGCTGCGGCTAGGGTCATGGCCTCGTAGTTGTCTTTGTCGACCTGCTTCTGGTCGGGGAAGCGGTCTGGGCGTTGTTCTGCGAGGCAGAGGTTGAAGAGGGCAAAGAAGAGGATAAGAATGGAGCCGAAGGCTTTCATTTTGTTGATCGTGCAATTCCGTTGTAGTTAAGATGGTGTTTGTCTGGATGAGAGAGAAGTAAGGGCTTGGTGTTGAACTCTTGGTGCATCTCAACCGCAACTGAAGTCCCCCCTTTATATAAGCTTTCAGTTGGTAAATATTTTACGACTCCATACATCAACATTATTCTCGCCCCCATGTAATGTTAGATGGAAGAAAAAGAGAACTTTGCAAGGCGCTCTTTTGCTCCCAACAATGCCTCGTTCGTGGGTTGCAGCAATGCCACCGAGTTGGTCTGATCGCATGGTAAACCGAACTTCACCAACAAACACTTTAGCCCCAAACTTCTTCCAAATGCAGACAAGGATGTAACAGTCTACATCTTTGCCAAGACCAACAGGTTGGATCTCCTCTCCAGCGGCTTTGGCCAAAAGCACCGAGAGGCTTGGGGCTTGGCTGTTGGATGGGGCCGCGATGACCCGCGTCCCATCTCGACGGTTGTTTCACATTTATCGCTGCATGACTTCATGTTTTTTGGAGAGGCGACGCCACCGGATGTCATACAGAATCCTTTGCATTTGTCATTCTGTAACATCTACAGGGTCTACAAGATGCAGTAGATCACGAAACCCGCCGCCCCCAACAAAGGATTTCAAATGTTGGTAGACGCATTCATGTGATAACACTATCTACGAGCTTCTCTCTGAGATCGTCGCTATCTTTGGTTTTGTGTTGCTTGACTCAATGTTGGTTTTACTTCCAGGAATAGATCAGCTCTGTAGGAGATGCGAGTATGCCTCGCTGTAGCCCCCAACACTAACAACAGGAGCCTGAGGGATCAACTTTGCCATTCGCCGCGGCGTTTTGTTGACATTGGCATAGTCCCTGAGCACGTCTACAGCATCGCGATGAACGTATAGAGATGAATGAAGTGGCCGAGTTGGTTCGAACGTGGCTGTGCTTTGTAGAGAAAATTCGAGGCATCACAGCAAGCATTCATTAAGAAAATCGATGAAAGAGAAAGCTATAAAGCCCATGGCATCTTCAGCATTTCTGCCACCATCATCAACAACAGCAACAACCACAAATCAAGAACAGCAGCTCAAACGTTCATCTTTAGAACCTTCTACCATAACCATCAAAACAATGCATTTCTCCAAGATTGCCATCTCTCTTGGCCTCCTGGCCACCGCCGCGAGTGCCGCTCCCAGGTCCTTCCAGGAGCGCTCTTCCATTGTTGCCCGAGAGATCGTCGACCTCGGCGTGACTCCTCTGAGCGCCGGAGAGCTCGAAAAGCGTGAGATCATCGACCTCGGCGTTACCAACGACGGATTTGAGGACCTTGACAAGCGTGGAAATAGCAACTACATTTCCAGCTGCGGTTCCAACTGGATGCCCATCGAGGATGACAAGAGCAAGAGCCACTCCGGCTACCGCACTGCCGTCGAGCAGTACTGCTACCATGTCACTCATAGCCAGGACGGTCTGCCAACCGTCATTGGAGCGGGACAGAAGCACGCGGCAATTGTCAAGGGTGGATACTTCCTCAAGGGGGATGTTCCTGCCGCCGTGGACTGTGAGTATCCGGGATCTGAGTTACAGTGATATTCGCTAACTGAGAATGTAGTTGAAATTCACAACAAGATGAAGGACGGAGATCACACACCCAACCAGGCTGACTGCGTGACGTACCTCATGAAGATGGCCGATTCTAGCTCCAAATGCTACGGCAGCAAGAACAAGGACACCAAGGGCGGCACCTGGCAGATTGGCAGCGACGATGTGAGCTACCACGCTCTTCCCATGTCCAACTCTACTTAGATGAGTCCATTGCAAGACGAAGAAGATCGAGTCAATATCTGCCAGGTTGTTTCTTGTTGTTTCTGCTTTCCTGATATTCTGTCACATCTGTTGATTGCCTTGCTTGAACTTTGGTTTTCATTTCTAGTTTGCGAATAAATATCCTTGCTCTTCTACGCATGAAATGTCAATCTGCATTAAACCAATCTCACCCGTAACTCGTAAGTCCTCCGTACAGACTCAGTTATTGTACTGCGAGAAGCCTGGATGTCCCACCGCAGCCAAAGCCTCAAATGTTGGATTAAATCGCGCAATTCAATGTTGTTCTGAGGTTGGCTATTGTTCATATAAAATCATTGCCTGTAGTAGTACTTTAATTCTCCATAACGCATTAGCAGCTTGATTATTACGAAACGGTATTCTCACCTCAAAGGGCCCTCTTATGCTTATTATACCTGGCGGGGAATACCCCAGGCAGCGTAGTGTGGCAATGCAAACCAACTGTGGGGTCAATGTTTCGACCAGGATCGAGGGTGGCTTTCGATCATGCATTCATGCTAACATCAGCAAGGCGGATTCCAGAGAATGATTAACTATGATAGTCAGGCTGATTTGTCATACTCTCTTGATTTATCAACGTACCAGCCCGCCATTTGTCTCGCACGATCTACTTCGACATAAAATTTCAAGTGAACGAAGGAAAGCCATGACATGGAGCTGGAACGCCAACCTCGCTTACCAACCGAGATCTTCCTTCTTATTGCCAATTACCTGGACCCTCAAGACCTACTGCGTCTTCTATACGCCAGACCAGGTATCACATCTTTGCTAACCCATGCCCATCTAAGATCTGGGGATATCGAAGGCAACACCCTGCTTCACCTAGTGGCAGAGGACAACATTGACAATATGATCAGCCGACTGAGCCCAACCTCCGCAGCCAAGAGCATGGGTCAAAACAACGCCGGTCAGACACCGCTCCACATAGCGGTCAAAAAAGGTCACCATGGCATTGTTCGAGAACTGCTATCAACGGGATGCAATCCATCCCCGACGGACAAATACTCCCGAACCCCCCTGCACTTTGCTTGCCTGACCAAGCAAGACATAACCATGGTACAACTGCTCCTGGCTCATGGCGCTGACGCTTCGGCAAAAGACAGAGAGGACCGTACTCCAATACACATATGTTGCACCTACGGGCAGGTTGCACTGCTCAAGACTCTCATCGATGCCGGCGCCGACATCGATGCCGCAGAAAACGGAGCGGTGGATTCTGGAGCGCGAGGGCAGACACCATTCCACAATGCAGTACTGTGTGGACATACAGAGTGCGCGAAGATTCTTTTGGAGAGAGGGGCCGATCCAAACCTGCTATATGGGCCTGAAGAACACGTTATAGGCTCCGCAGTGTTCAGAGGGCAGACTGAACTCGTGCAACTGATGCTGGACAAGGGAGCTGATGTGAACAGGCCAGAGCGCCTGGGAACGACGCCCTTGATGATTGCTGCTATTGCAAACAGAGAGCAAATCGCGCGGATGCTGTTGCATGCCGGCGCCAACCCAAACATACGAGGACCTCGTGACGCCGTCCCCCTGCACGGCGCGGCCAGGGAAGGCCTGCCATCGATTGTGAAGTTACTGCTCGACGGGGGTGCTGATCCTTCCATTACGGATAGGTTGGGCTTTTCTCCGTTAGATTATGCTACAAAGAAGGAAACGACTTCTGGAGAGTGGGTCTCAAAACCGGGACATGAGTCGGTAGTTAAACTACTGCAACAGGCACAGCGACAATCAGAAGCTGGGCTAGGCTGAAAAGATGACAAATGCAATCACGCCTTTGAATGAGAGATGTTTCCTTTTCCGAGTCAATACACTTCAAGAATTTCCATATGAACTAACTCTTGGCCTGCTACATCGTATAACTAGAGTGCTAGACCTGTTGCACCGTGTCACGTGCCTATTGAAATGCGAGAGACTGAGAGTAAATCTAGTACACTGGCCAAATAACCCAGGTGAGAGGCAAACGTTCTCCCTACGTTTAGTTTCGACTGGTATTGGTATGCATAGGGAGCGATGGATGGTATTAGAGGGGTCCTCCCTAGGTGGCTGGACAGTCAGGGTTATGTTACCAACAGAGCAGTCTGGCATGTACCAGTTCTACAAACCTTTCTCACGACCGTAGAAAGCTCAGTCTGGGTCCATCCGCATACTCCTTCACATCTGTGAGGCTAGGAATTAATAAGAAGGACCATAAAGGCTTAGAGCTTATATCAAGTTAACATTCAAATCAGATTCCAAATCAGAAGGATATCCCTAAATCCATTCATGCGTCTCTTAAGGGCAAGCCGGGCTCATAACTGTTGATTCCATAGCACTAGTAAAGGTCCTAGACTACTAATAATTTATATGGCAAATCGCAAGTCAAGGAAAGTCCAATTCTTCTAAACGAATGTCTATCTAGCTCCTATATATGCCTTCGATAGGGGTCAAATTTGAGGGTCTCCGAATGATCGACTATTCTGCCAAGAGTGCCAGTGCTGAGTCAATTCGTATGCCTTCCAAATCGGACAAGCGGTTTAATAATTCAATAGAAACCTACAGTAGAGCAACGGTGGTAGTGGCAGTGTAGTTGAGATTAGGCAAGCGGCCCTGATTCAGGGGGTTGTTGCCGAGGACACCGCAGCGCACAGTACCTAACTAGAAAGACATGTAAGGTACTGTTTCGTCGGAGTTCAAGATCGATTTGGGATCAATCAATACCACCCTCCAGGCTGGCTTGCTGTCATTTACTCCGTCCAAATCAAGACGCCCGTGCCAAGGCTTCCCTTGCTTGCAGCCCGCACAGCACAAACAAAGCACGGCCCACCTGCACGACGGATCGCCGCGCTCTTACCCCTCTCGGAGCACCACGCCCTAGCTAGAACCTCGGCGCCTCTGCCGGTGGCATTGATGACCATGACCTCGTCACCGTCCGAGTCCTCGGGGGTGTGGTCCTTCAGCTGCTCGATCGACCAGATATTCTTCTGGAACCGCGGCAGTTCCCTCATATGCACTTCGTGCGGACCCTTCGGGCCTAGCCGGCACGGCGGAAGTGTCACGAAAACGGGGTTAGTGAAGAGCTTGTACGTGATGGGGCTCTGGTTGTTGTCGATCTTGAACGTGATGCTCGCACGGTACTGTGTCTCGAGTTCCACGTCGAGGTCGTCTAACTCCCCTTTCGCGGCCTTTTGGGCCACGCCAATGTCAAGCGCGAGCTTTTTAAGCTGGATGGATTTGATCTCGCAGGTGCTAATATCGCGGACGGGCGGCTCTGGTACAACCCAATTGCTTGGATCGCGCATCTCAGCTAGGTACTGTTGGATTTCTTCGCCAGGGCCGATCCGCGTCGCCGAGTGACGATCGTATCCGCTGTTAAGGTCTATGACACCCTCATCGGAATTTGAGCTGTGTTCGGTCAGGGCAATGCGTCGAGCTTTGATGCGGACATGTCGCGGACAGGCTGTCGATGCAGGAGGGTCAAACTCGACGCGCGGGCACGGCCCGATCCAACCACACAGCGATATCACGCCGGGGAGACAACCTAGAACACGTCCCAGCACCGTTCTCAGACGCCAGTATGATCGTGTAGGTAGTGATAGTCCGCAGTCGTAGTACCGGCTTACCCCGGCCTTGGACTTGATAGTCGGCGTACAAAGAATCATCGCTGTCATTATCTTGAAGGAAAACCACTTTCCAGGAAGGATCAGGCCGTAGAGCCAGTCATGCAGGTTAACGTCGATGGTTGCCCCGCCCCGGAGGTTGCTGTAGACGTCCTCGGCATAGTCGCGGAGCTCGTTTATGTAAGGCCACTTCATGCGTTCCGCAAACAAGAGAAGGCCCTCGACCTGCTGCTCGTGAATAAGTGAATGGAATTCGGTGGTCTTGCCGAATATCTCCCAGTCTTCGTCAAGAAAGTCGGCCCGCATATTATGCTGCTTCTCCTTGTTCTTCTCCGAGTTGATGGCTCTAACGGTCTCCGAGATCTTGTCCTCGGCGTTGGTCAGACCCTGTCGCATTTGTGTCGTCGCGTCCTTGCCTGCAACTTCCAGCGCTTGTTCGTAAGCTTTCTTGGCTCGCTTGGGAAACCCCAATTTGAGAGCAGCCATGCCCAGTCGAGACCATGCCTTGGCATATTTGGGATCGATCAGGGTCGCTACATAAGCATCATGTTCCGCCTCTTCGTATTTCTCCAAGCCGACCAGGGCGGCAGATCTGTTGCACCGGTAAATGGCATTTCCGGTGTCTATTTTAATGGCCTCAGTGTAAAGGTCAACAGCCTTTTGATAGTCATTCTTCTTCAACGCATCGTTGCCCTTGTTCTTGAAGTCTTCCGCCTTGGCTTTTTCCGCCGCTGTCTCCGCCTTCTTGATCCCGTCGAGTGATGGCTTCGCGTCTGTGAGGATGATCTCAACATTCTTCAACCACAATTCCGAGATAATAAGTGTTGCTAAGATCCGACTCGTGAACCCCGTGTACGAGCTTGATCCTTGCCGGTATTTCAACCGGACTGCCAGCTCCCATCCTATAATGACCTGCCGCAAAAAGTTCCAAACCCCAATATGCATATCGTCAGTCGGGCCTGCCCACTGCATCCCGACGCTTGATGTAGTTGTAAAGTCGGCGAAGATATCTGTGCGGTTAAGTAGGCTATACAGGTCGCCGATCCAGCGGTCTGGATCCTGCGCAGCCTTCTGGTCGTAGTATACGATGCTGTTGAAAATGTAGTCAGCTTGAGCCCAGCGTGGAAACGTGCTCACATGTTGGATGTCAACGTACCCCATAGTTCCAACAAACTCCTTTAGGTCGAGCTCCTCCTTAGTTGGGCTCCATCCAAACTTGCCTTTATGCTTTTGTAGCTCGTTAAGTCTGCGCAGTAGCTTCCTAGCGGGCAAGACCGGAAGGTCGGCATAGCTGACCATGATTGAGTTCTCCCTAGGTTTAGTCTCCTCAAAATCCCAGCACTCCAGTCCGTAGCCTTCCACGGTGACAGTTCCAGGGTTGACGTTCTCATACTTGGCGTGGCTCTCAGGGTCAAGCAATGAGTAATCTTCAGAGTCGAGCGACTCATACTTATCTCGTGACCACTTCTTCATATATTTCTTCTTCTTATACATCTCTGCAAATGGTTAGCCAACCAGACCTGAGAAGGGGCGGATCAAAATTACCGAATGACGCGTGATTTGTAGATACAAAGCCTTTGTCTCTATCATCCCAGTAGGGAAAGTCTCTCTCTTGCTTGTGACCGTCCCAATACACATGGCCGGACACGTGCGCCCCAGAGTAGGGCCCTATGAGGCTAACGGTTAAGGCCCCGGCGCTCCTTTTTTGCACATACAACTCGACCTCCCTCAGTCTTTTAGACAGCTCGTCCATCTCCGGCGCGGCTTCCGTAGCTGGGACTTGTGTTCCACCCTGTCGACCGCCTAGCGGTATTTCTTCGTCGGCTTCTTCCGGCTCCTGTGCGGCAACATCCTTGGCGGTCGTCTGGCTATCCCTATCATCGCCAGTTCCGGAAAGCAACTCGGTCCTGGCGGATACGGTTGCACCGAGCGCTTCAAGCCGCACGCTGGCCTGTTCCGAAAGCTCCTCATGGTCTCCAGCCATGGCCTCTTGCAACAGCTGCAACTCATGCACTTCCACGGCGGCATCAATGTCGCCTCTCATGGCCTCAGCAATCTTCATCTGCGCATCGGGGAACAGACTCTCTAAGCTATCATTAAACCCGCGCAGCTCGGTGACAAAAACCTCGAATCTCTTGCAGTCGCGCACCGCCCAGATGGCCTTGCGTGCCAGCGTGGTGTCTCGCTGCCGCTCGCGCGCCATCCGGCGCAGGCTGTCGTACGCGCGCTTGAACACCCCACCCAGGATGCGTTGGCTCTGCGATGGAACAACTTGTCCTTCGCCCGCAGCCAGAGCGGGGTCGAGCGGTTGCAGACCGTAGTGGTTCTGCAGGCGGTCGGTGTTCTCAAACACATGCTGGACGCAACCGAGCAGACGAAACACGGCGCCGCGCACGTCTTCACGGTACAACCGCGGGTCCGCAGGCGCACCGCCGAGGCCGACGGCATCGCCCCAACACAGCAGGCGCACACGCTCAACTTCGAACTTGACGTTGAGCAGCTCGTATTCCATGCCATACTGTCTTGCCGAGTCGACGACCTCGTAGACCTGGACGCAGGTTTTCCAGAGCGCGGCGACACCAAGGACGAGTCCGGCAACATCGGTCATGATGGAGCGATTTTATGAACGGACAATCTAGTGCTAAATAATCCCCGCTACAAGGGATAGTTTTAAATCTGTTTGATATGTGCCTGCAGACTTCTCAAGATCTTTGAAGGTGCTGTGTCTACCCAGGAACTGGGCGTGCCTGCTGATGTAGCTGCGCACGGGCCGTAATTGGTTATTCACCTACTCTAAGGCCACAACTTTTGCGAGGATGATCAGTACGTGTGCAGCGGGCAAAAACGATCGTCCACGTACTGTTGGACTGTCCAAGACTTAGAGGATTGCGAATGGAATTAAGGAGGAGTTCGGGATGCGTTAACAGCGTGTCGAGTCTACTGGGAGGCTCAACCAAAGCGAGAAAGATAAGCCAAACGCGGGTCAAAGCCATGCTAGGCTGCCGAAGCGTCACACGACGTCGCACGACACGAGGGCAGCCTAGCACATGGACGTGGCAATTCGGCCACGGCAGGCCTTGACGAGGCTCTACATAAGATCGACGTCATGCAGATTAGCAAAAAGAGCTGATGCTACGAGGCAGGTATTCTGGAAAGAAGGTATTGGGCCTCTAGTCTTGTCAATTCGCAGAGATCCTACTGTGGGGTGCCATGGAACTCTACGGACTTTTCGTACGCATAGTGTATGTATTATTACAGAGCTCGGTACTGTAATATACCAAGCGCAAGTTAATGTGCCCCGCGGATTAAGGTAAGCCCCTCAATAAATGATCTGTGCTAAGGCCTTCGTGGTGGGTCAAGAACAGAGTTATCATGTGTGTATTGGTCAAGCCGATTTCGAGAATGACTGTAGTTCACAGGAGATAATTTTGGTTAAGGAACCAGTAAACTACTCCTCGGACAAACTACTACCAGCTTGCTTGTCGTTCCAGTCCTTATATTCACTCTTGGGTGACGGGCACATGTTCTGGGCGAGAATAATCTAGCAGAAGTCGCAGTATGAGGGTCACCGCCTCATACCACCTTCTTCCTTTGATCGGGTTTGAGCATCAGCTCACTTAGGGTGACGGGTTCCCGACGGCAGTAGGCTAAATGATTTCCTCTGTTGACCGGGGCCCGAATAGCACACTGGGCTTGATTAGGTTTGAGTTGGGTAAAGGGAAAAGCAAAGCCCAGAAAGCCTCTCAAAGATGACCCTAGGGGTAGCTAATATTGCCCTATCATAATCCAGACTCCACTGTTCCCGTTCGTTTGTCGCAGGTATCAACTGTATGAAATGCCCGGCCTAATCAAGCGGCTGCTTAACCAGCTAACCAGGGGAGGCAGAAATTCCAGGTGCAGGAAGCTGCAGGGCTAAGGTCCCAGGGAAACAATCCTAAAGGGAAAAGGGTCAAGCTGACCAACAGGAAGCATCGGTCTAGAGGGCACCTTAATAAGAGAATGCGTCATATATGTTCCAATGGATATCCTAGCTTATGTTGTGTGAGGAAAATAAGGAAGTGGAGTCTAGCAACTAGTTAAAAAAAATGAAGCCTGGTTAAATGATCTAGAATAAAGCAAGAGATGACTATAATTTTATATCTAGCACTTCTACTACCATTATCCACAACAGTAACAACCAGGCTGACTGCGAGACGTACCTCAAGAAGATGACTGATCCCAGCGCGAAAAGCTATAGCAGCGAGACAAGGACACTAAGGGCGGCCCCTGGTAGATTAGCAGTAACAGTGTCAGCTACCATGTTCTTTCTATGGCCAACTCTACTTAGATGAATCATTGTGCGACGAAGGGGACTAAATTAATATCTGCTAGATTGTTTGCTTATTGTTTCTGCTTTCCTGATATCCTGCTACATCTATTGACTGCCTTGCTTCAGCTATTACTTTCATTCTAGTTTGTGACTAACTATCCTTGCTCTTCTATCCATCAAATGTCATTACCCATGTGTACTGATCTCACTCATGAGTCATGACTTGTAAGTCCTCAGTACAGACTCAGTTATTGTACTGTGAGAAGCCAGGATGTCCCACCTCGGCCAAAGCCTCCTTCACCACCTGCTCGAGATCCTTCTCCGGCAGCCCGAGCTCCTTGTTCCTAATATGCCTAATGGGCTCAAAGTGGCCACTGTAGATACCTTTAGTAAAGCCAATATTGATCAGGCCATATCCTGCCAGAGCTTCTCCATTTTCCCACGCCTTCTTCAAAGCAGGAATAGCCTCCTCGGTGCTAATCGACTTACGCTCCCACTTCTCACCGGTAAGTCGCTCAATCGTCTCAACGAGCTCCTTTTGCGTAGTTGCAAAGTCACTCGTGAAGACAATTTGGTTAGCCGTCGTGCTAGGATTGAGGAGGACGCGATTCAGCGCCAGGGCTGTGTTGTCCAGCGTGGTCGTCGAAAAATAACCCTCGCCGTCGTCGGTGAAGGTGATACTCCGGCTGGGATAGTTTAATCCAAGGAAGTTATGGCGCAGAGACCTTGGCACAGTCAGTCATCGGCACTAGTCGGTATCTCCATATATGAGGAAGAATCATACCATCCGATCCACATGCCGCACGCGATAGCCGTCCAGCTTAGTCCACTCGACTCCTTACTGCGCAGATACTGCTGCACCATTCCCTTGTCTTTGAATACAGGAGATAGCTCCTGGGCCTCGGGAGTGTTGTTATCGAGTCCATACTCGGACGGCACAAAACGCTTCACACCGGCGGCAACCGCCGCGTCGATGAATTTGTGCTGCTCGGCGACGGAGAAACTGGTGATCGCGTTCACAACTGCATCTTGGTCTTTGAAGGCCTTGATGAGGTCCTCGAGTGGGTAGGAGTCGGCGATGGTGATTACAGAGGCGGTCGAAGGGATACTGCCACGTGCCTTGGATGATTCTCTTGCGAGGACCGTGACGTTGAACGCGGGTTCGGACAGAAGAGACTTCAGAAGGACGCTTCCGAGCGAGCCACCACCCTGCTCACTGAATTAGCCAAGATCTTCACGTGGAAAGATGTCGGCTTACTCCGATCAGGATGATATTCTTATATGCGTCTGTAGCCATTGTGATGGGGATTTGTACTCGTAGCAATGCAGATTGTGTTTATGATTCCATCAGTCATTCTCCGTCTGCTTTATAGTCTTCCACTGCAGTTGTCCTCTAGTCAGCTTGACACGCGTTCAGTAATCAGTATATGCTAGCTTGAATAATTGGGGTATCCTGATGGCATGAGCGGAGAATTCGGCTTGATCACTAATACAACTCCAATCCGCAATGATATTCCTGCGTTAGTGGTATCCATCAGTTGGGAAAAGACTAATAGTTATAGATAAACTAGTATTCGTTTGTTTCTGATCCTCAGGTAACGACCCAATCAGACTTTCCTGTCAGGAGCGGCACTACGAATGTATGACTAGCCTCAGCCCCCATGTTGACTAGCAAGAAGTATTCATGTATGGATTGACTCGAGGATCTTTTGCTGCAGAGGATCAGGGTGATACTGGTGGTCACAGACGGATGCGACGGACACATTCTCTAGTTGCCGCTTCCCAAAATGGACATGCGACTGCCGTTTTGGGATGGGTCTAGGGGTTGCCGTTCGACCAATGAAATGGGCGTTGAAATTTCACCACTTCCCCACTCACCCTAACCCTGATAAGGTTGTGCAACTTCCAAATTGGGAATAGCCTTAGTGGAGCATTGTTTACTAAATAATCTCGTAAGTTGCCATTTTTACGGCGGCTGAATAACTACCTAGCGATCCTCTGCTGACAGACTACGGAGTAGTATGTTCGCCAATCGGACCCATAACATAATCATGCGATTCATTGGACCATGCCTTATTGCGGTCCAGAATTCCGCCCCAGCTATCCGGCCCCCGCCTCTATATGGCGAAAGCAATGAACTACTAGCGATACCATTCTCATGTCGGCGTGAAATGAACTGTGAGACTAGTGCCGCATTCAGAGATAGTGTAAAGTCGACAGACAGGGATTCATGGCTCTACAGAGAGTAGGACTGTATCCTGACTCCTCCCAACACCATGCTATAAAGCATCGGGCCCCCTTCAAATAGGAGTTGTGGAATGTCGGGGTTGTCTGCTTTAAACTACGCTCTAGACCCAATTTGTGAATTATGGATACTCCACCGTGTGACGGACAGTCCGACCGTCAGAACACACCCGAACCTCTTCCTCCTGTGAATCATTCAAAGCTTCTCAAGCGTGGTCGACCTCGGATAGAACGTGCTGGCGAAACAGCGGGTGAGGTAAGTGCTTGTGAACGCTCGTCTGTTTGGACTATGGCTGAGTCTCCTCAAGCGACGAAAAGAACAGATCCGACTTGCACAACGAGCCTACCGGTTTCGCAAGGATCTCAGAATAGCAGCACTGGACCAGAAAGTTGTCGAGCTTGAACAAACCATTCTCGCAATCCGTGACCTCTATCTCAGCGTGCACACTTCTGTCGTTGACTCGGGGATTGCCGTGTCGCACCCATTTCTTGTGCAGTCGATGCAAACGAATCTCCAACTCCTGCGCTGTCTCACACAGTCGGTTTCGTCGAGAGGTGCTGAATACCAGCCTTCGTCCACATATCACAGCACCGAGGGTTCATGGGACGACCAAGTTCTTGGGCGCAAACCACCGCTTCCATCCCCTCCCCTGTCGGGCCATTATCCGACATCAAGGTTCGAACCGTTGAGACTTCCTTTTGACAGCCCCTGTACAAGTCCTGGGGAGGCGCCTGATGTTTTGCCGGACCAATCCTCCCTTAACCCACTTCTGGTCTGTGATGAATACTTCTGGGAGCAACCCAGCAATGACATGAATAATGATGAGATATCCTTGGCCATTTGACTTCACCTGAATTCTCTTCGACTCACTCTTGATCTTGTTCTCCTAGCCACTGCGCCAATGAAATATGCAACGATTCATAAAGTAAAACCAGTACAGATCATCTTTCAACATGCATAATGCCTCGCGCCAACAGAAAGCATAACCGAGTACCCCACATCATCAAACATGCCATTACCTCCTCCCTTCCGCCTCACCTTTACATGTTCGTGCTAGATGTTGGGTTGACGTAGAGCCCAGATAGCGAATCTCTTCATTCTCCATCTCAGTAAGTCCAGCCAGTGCTATATTCCAGGCCTCTTCCCAATCAGTCTCACGAGATGGGTCATAGAAAAACCGCTGCAATATTCGCCGTATGTCCTTCCAGCCACTTGCCCAGTATCTTTGCAGAATTGACCTCCTGAGTAGTTGCCGCTGCTTCGCCCTGGAGAAGATCTGCCTGTTCTGTGGTGTTGCAACAACAGTACACATCCATATTACACACTCAATGAGCAGGGGATCATTCCACACCTCCGTGACTGCTCCTAATGCCTCAGCACGTCGCTGAGGCTTTCGAAAAATCAACGCTGCCGGATGAGTCCCCATAGCACTGAGGTCGTCGGCGAGACATGCCAGGGCGACACATATGCACTTCTCAAGGTTATTTAAGTCGCAGGACATGGAGCAGCGCCACGTTTGTCGGACTGTAGACTCGCTTTCTTTACTTCTGGTAAGCCAGTGCGAAAAATCCCTGACAATTCCGATCGCCTCGTCTGACAGATAGCGGTAACGGGCCAGGTCGCGAAAGCCCGGCGGTAGATCCTGAGCTGCCTCCCACGACACCGGCAGAGGATAAAGCAGCTCCCCCTTTGCAAGCGAGGTTGGGCTATTCGTAATTGCTGTTTGGACGTGAAACTCGACCATACTCTGGGTTACAAGAAGACTCATGCGAAGGTTCCTCCCAAAAGCATTCTCATCGGAGCTTCCGACAGCATCGAACCCTCCACGTAGCTTAACCACCTCTCGCATCCCGTTCAGATGGACAGGACCAAACTCATAATGGCCCAGATAGTCGTCCACCGGGATCAGCAGAGCCATCCCCTGTATCAAGACGTCGTCTACTTGCTGCTGGGACAGGCGGCTGTGCAGATCCAGCAGGACCTTATTCCGATGGTACATGATGGCACGACTGGTGTTTCCGGTAACATCGTGGCATTCCAGACTACACAGGGTAAATGCTGACAATCCATGCAGGATCAGATCGTGCTTCGAGGCCCACGAGAGAAGTCCACGGCCGTATGATCTCGTGCCCACGTCTCCCAGTCCAAGAGCCTTCGCGTCGTGGGGGAGAAGGATGTCGAAATCTGGATGATATCAATACTGATGTCCTGGAATTAGAACATGGGGAATCAAGTACTCACAATAGCTCAGGGAACGAGCAGTCAAAGGACCATTGGAGGCGAATCCCCTGAATGGGTAGAACTTGCCGGCCCCAACAGGTTTGGAAACAACGATCGCTTGTGTCGACGGCGTCCTTTGTGCCTGACCATCATCTTCCTGAGATTCATTTCTTTCGTCTATTGTTGACTCTTTTGAATCAGGACGATCCGGAATCTGGAGCCACTGCAGGGGCCCCTGCCTCCCTCGGTGCTCAGGCTTTTCTCCCCTTTGCCTGCGCCGTCTGGTGCTTGCCTCTGTTGCCACGAACGCATTGATTGCTCGTCGCGTGTTGGTGTCTTTCTTCTTTGAAGGTCCGTGATAGGGGATGAACATGGTGAGTTGGACTTTAGACCGTCACGGTCGCATTATCACAGTCAGAATACTATGTTTGCCAGGTGCACATGTGCAATAAACACAAGTCTCCCAGTTGTCTTATATCTCTTTTAGTCATTATACGTCCCTTGATCCTGATTCCTGGCAGACACGCAGCAACTGTGGAAGTTCCTCGTCGGGCATGATTATGAATCTTTTGCGTGGCACTTTTTCTTCGCTACTATTTCCTCGTGTGGCGCTTAGTCTCCCACACTAACCCAAATGACACTTCTGCCATCATCAATATGACAACCTCCAGTTGCACTGAGGGACCGTTTTCATGATACACGATGTGGATATACTCAATATGGCGCCATTTCTGGAAAGGTCCTCAGCTATCTGAATTGTCTGCCAAGAAGTGTTCTTGTTTGCCGATAAATCCGATGGCTTGCATTCGCCGTGTCGCCACTCAATACCTCCCGCAACTGATTACCAATCTGGTACTTCCATAGCTATAAACGAATTCACATCGGATGGGATCAATAATCATTAGCGTTCATGCTTCGGTCTTTGATTCATTATCATCGGCCTTTGCTTGAGAATATCTCAGCTGCGCGTCTTGATCTGCGTCAATATAACAAGATCCCGGAACGGACGACTTGGTTTCAAATGGTCAGCTGTAAAATAAACAAAGTATTCAATGTTGGCGCCATATTTTGTTAGTTCCACGATCCGACAAGATCAGCAAAAGCATCAAGTCATTCAATTGATCAAGTTTGTCAGCAGCAATGGAAGGTATCACAGTTATAGCCAGCCCATGTCCACAGATATACATGCAACCACATAGGGCAAATGGCACGTATTCTAGTCTGCATCGTCAGAGCACCGCATACACAAATCGATATCAGCTTGAAGATCTCCAGTCGGTTGTGCAGCCAATTCCTGCAGATTATTTGGCCTTTTTTTCAAGTCCATACTCACCACTTCTGAATGACGTGTTAAAGAATGAGGTTCTAACCGAAGTATGTCCCACCCAGAACGCTCAATCATGCTCCTTCTCCAGCTCGTCTCCCAGTTTCCCCACCAAAGAATAACACTCCACAGAACGCTGATGGAATTACCACCATATCGAGTCCGATACAGCTCCATCAGATCCGGTAGCAACGACCTGGTCGGCGGTCCATAAAAGTCGTATTCCCCGTAGAGGTCATTATCATATAGGACATTTTCCATGCTATAAGGAACACGGAACGTCCAGTGACTCTCGTATGACATTCCAAACCACTCAGAATTGGGGTACTCCTTCCCTTTCTCCGCCTCATATAGCCGAGGGTACAACACTCGGCCCAGGAGCTCACCTGCCAGGTGGCTGAAAGTGACAATGACATTGCGGCACTCGCCCAGAAGCTTGAATATCTTCTCAATCGTAGGGCTGATGAGTTCGACCCATTCACGTGTCGGTGACAGCCCGACACTGCACCAGTCGCTAGGCCGGTAGTAATCCCCACCGCCTAGATCGGTCAGCCAGCGTTCACCTGTTCGTCCATCTTCCAGTACTGGAGCCCATTCCAGGCAATTATAGTCTATCGAGAGCTTTCTGACATTTTTCCGATTATACGGACCGATCATCACCAGCCACTTGTATATCGTCTGCCAGTCTTTCTCCCCGAGCTCAATACAGGCGTGAAATATACTGTGCGTGTAGAACATATGGACAGTTTCCAGGTAGATTTGCTTGTTGGTGAGGAACAATTGCATAAGGGGATACATGTAACAAACTGCGGTGTTGAGACTTATTTTCTCTGTAATATTCTGCTTGTCTTCTGAGCTATTCTTCTCAGGTCCTGTTTGTCCAAGGCGTATACGGCAATAATAATTTCCCCTCAAAAGGATCTTGTAGATCTGAATACGCAACTCCGGCGGGAGATCCATGAAGCCGATGGGATTATCGATCCCCATAATGAGACCAACTTGACTTTCAGGCCGTGTGGAAGACAATGGTATATGAGGATTGCGTTGGATTGTTGTTATAACATTAGAAGAAAAGTAGAGTGTCGAGTTTAATCGTATTTATTACGACACCTTACCAGAGATTTCATATGGCTTTAACCAGCGTCGGACATGCGATTCTGGCTTAGCAGAGAAAGCTTACCAAGGACAAGTTTTGATCTTGTTACCGGAAAAAAAGAAAAAAAAAAAAAAAAAAAGAAAAAAAAGAAAAAGAAAGTTGTATAGGCATACTAGGTATACCATACATTAGCAAGTCCCTTAATCAACACTATTTTAATCCTATCTGATGAGGGCAATGTTGAGTAATGTACAAAGAGTTCAGGCTACATAGCATTCATCATGGTAAATATATTATTCGCATATTATATTAGCATTTACACGATGGTATAGGATGAGTTAAGCTAGCGCGTACTTGGAGACGTCTTAACTATCCTGTAAGGATGATAGACGCACTCAGCGTATGCGACAACACGAAGCTGACTAGTCTACGACGACCATACCGAAGCCAGGCTGACTTCAGTTGAGAAATGCCCCCAACGGCCTGACCCGCAATACGGGCCAACATGAAAGATGTGCTACTGTTCGCTGCTGCGCTACAGCCGTAACCAAGCCTGACCTACTCTAGCCCCAAACCCGCAAGCTTTCTTGAGTTATCTCAGCCGCTGATGCCCGTGCTTTCCTCGGCATGCAAATAAGTGCACCTATCAAGGTGACGCTAAGATCGTTGAAGCGTCAGCTTACCGGGCAGTGCTGCTATCAGCAGCGTGCAAGTGCGGAGATGGCCGCAGATCTAATCAACGCGTAGCCCTCGGATCCGAGTCCTCGATCCTTCGGCTTATTCCCGTTACAGACTTTGGCCGCGGCCATTTGAGCAAGGGAAGGGTATATATACACGAGAATCCAGTCTGACTAGGATATTTTGATGCAGCCTTCAAAATCATTCTCATATATCTGGTCCATACCGACAGTATCATGTCAACAATCGACAGAGTCGCCATCATTGGCGCCGGCCTTTCTGGCCTAACCCTTGCTCTAGCCCTACAGAAACAATCCATTCCCTGCTCCCTCTACGAGGCTCGATCATCCCCCCTCAACATCGGGGGCGCAATCATGCTTTCCCCAAACGCCCTGCGCATCCTCGACCAGCTAGGCGTCTACGAGCGCATCCTTCCAGAAGGCTACGAATTCGATAAACTATACTTCCGCTCCCCGGATGATCAGCCCATGGATACCTACGATTTCGGAGGCACAGAGCAATATGGCTACCACGGGATGCGCATCTACCGGCATGTCCTCATCCGGGAGCTATCCGCCATGGTTAGCCAGGCGAAAATTCCCATCAAGTACCACAAGAAATTCGTCCGCGTGGTAGCCGAAACAGAAGAGGATATCACCTTTGAATTTGCGGATGGCACCACCGAAACCGCAACCTGCCTTGTCGGCGCGGACGGAATCCACTCCCGCGTTCGCAAATACCTGTATCCAGACCTCGAGCCCATCTTCACCAATATCGTCGCCGTGACGGCCGCCGTGCCGACGAACCAGCTGCAGGTTCCCAGCGGGTATGGCCTGCCGGTGACGATCCTGAACAGGACGCACGGGGCATTCGTCATTGCACCGCAGTTGGCCGATGGCTCAGAGGTGCTCATCGGGCGGCAGAAGCGGGCGCAGCAGCTAAGCCGAGAGGGGTGGGACGAGCTGCTAAATAAAAAGGAGTGGTGCGTGGATTTCCTCCGGGAAGGCGTGGACTCGTTTCCTGGCATCGTGCAGCGGGCTGTGGCGGATATCACGACCGACAAGATCAACCTGTGGCCGTTCTATGTGGTGCCGAAGCTTGGGACTTGGAGCTCGGAGCATTCCCGGGTGGTGATATTAGGGGATGCGGCGCATGCGATTCCGCCGTCTGCAGGGCAGGGGATTAATCAGGCTTTTGAGGATGTTTTTACATACGCTCTGATCCTTGCACGGTCGGATAAGGTGTCGCTTCAGCGGGCATTGAAGATTTGGCAGGGGGGACGGCAGGAGCGGGTGGATAAGGTTCTTGAGCTGAATGCGCAGATTGATAAACGGAGGATGCCAACTATGGGGGAAGAGGACGCAGAGCAGGCAGAGGAGCCGTTTGACTTGCAATGGTTGTATAAGCCGGATTTTGTGGAAATGGTGGACAGCTGGCTTTCAAGGATGGAGAACTGAGAGTGAATTATGTTGCGAAGGTATAGGTAATCATTACAATCCAATTATTTCCCCCATTACTTGAATATAGACAGCCTCGCTGACCAGACGTTACTCAACAATCTCAAACCGGACAGACCGGTCTACACCAAATGTATCCCTCCAATCGTCCCACAACTTGTCCAGTGCCCTGATATACTCCTCCTGCAACTGATCAATATACTTCTGATCCGGATCCCACCGCTGCTGTGTAACAGCAATCGGCATTCCTACAACAACATTCAACGGCCGCCGATACGGACAGAAGATGTTGAATCGCCCAGTAGAAAACGCCACCTTATGTCCAACAGCCCATTCCCAGACTCGAGCCACAAGCCCCAGCACAGATGAGGAGGACATATCCACGGAATCAAAAAGTTCGTTCTCCCCGAAGGCAATGACAGGGACGATATCCGCCCCCGTCTCAACCGCCACCCGCACAAACCCCTTGCGGATTCGGACCACCACGCCCATTGTCCCCGGTCGAGCAATATTATACTCACGGCTGCCGCCAACGGTGATGGTAATTGCTCGTCCCATACCTTGCCCATCGTGCCCGCCTCGCGTGAGGTGTCGGATACACGAGGAGCGGGACACGCCGCTCACGCCGGTGGAGAGCAGGTACTCCCTGTAGAGAGGTTGGTAGAAAGCCTCGTCTTTCATCAGAAGGGTGTTCGTGATGCCCGGGAAGAGCTCGGAGAATCCGGCCGTGTCGGCGGCTAGGGCGCCGATTGCGCCTCGGATGGCGATGCCGTGAGGATGGTAGCCGAAGATGTACTTTCTGCGAGGGGAGAGAGGTTCGGAGCGGTACAGACGGAGGGGGAAGTAGGAGGCGTAGATTTTCCAGATCCAGGATGTGCGGATTCGGTCGTTCCGAAGAGACAAGGTGCCGGTTTTGTGTGCTTTGGCGAGGTATTTGATGTAGAGAATGTAGAGGAGGACGAATAAACGCAGGCGAGGGACGAGAAGGAGGGAGTATCCGACTAATGGGATGAGAAACCAGGCGTTGCAAAGCGTACTCACAACGAGAGTTTCTTTGATATCTCGAAGAATTGGTACTCGGGCAGATTTGCCCTTGGTTTCAGGGGGTTGTGTGGTTTGTAGCACCATCCCAGCACGATTCTTCATCTCGTATAGACGACACGTGGTGTCTTCCACCTTCACCTCGGGCATGTGCATTGCCATTTTATCCGGGTTGAGCGCCAGCTCGACGATCTTCTCGGCGGCCGCTACACGTCCTTCCTTCTTGTGGCAGAGCTTGGCCAGCTCCAGTGCCTTGGTCTTGTACGACGTGTTGCCCATGACTTTCGACAACGCCTTGCTCAACTCTTTGGCATCGATATTGGGCGCGCGGCTCTTGTTGCCATATACCCCAATCCCGAGCCATTCGGCTCGAGCGGCATTCTCGTAGCAGTCTTGCCACGCAGGAAGTACCACATGGGGCACACCGTTTCTATACCGTTAGTCTGGAACAATTGTGGCAGGCGGAAGACTTACTGAATTGCTTCGTACCATGAGTTCGCACCGCCATGGTGAACAGAGCAAACGATCTGGCCCGTTTGCAACATGGCCATTGGCTCAACCTCGAACCAGGGTCTGATTCGCGCGCTGTCCGCCTCGACCTCGGCCTCAAGGGGTTTAATGGACTGAGCGTAGACGTTATCCTTATCATGGGGGTGTTTGGGCAACTTCCACAGAATCTGAACCTTGTCTCCCTTCCAGGATGTGAGGAATATTTTCAATCCTCGGGCAATATTCTCCGCTACCTTTGGGTCCGGCGCGTATAGCGTTCCCAGGTTAACCAGGACAGTGGGCGCCTTGCGCAGCCAGCTTGCGAGTTCTGGGTCCTGCTTTTCTACCGACGCAGTGGGAAGTAGGATTGGTCCGCAAGGCAGGATGTTATCAGGGACATCCATGGGCCAGTCCAGCTCTTTCAACGCCGGCGACAGATGGAAGCGGTCCGGTCGCCAGGCATCCGCAAAAGGGAACCGACCGTGGATCTTGTGCCGGATGCGCCATTCGCGGATTTCGCGACGGCGACCGCTGCCGTGGTACATTTTGGCCGTCTTGAGCACGGCCAGCGCATTGAGGGGGATGATGTGCGGAGGAAGGGGATAGGGAAATCCTGTCCCGGGTCTATTGCAGTCAGTGAGTGTACGATCTTGCTGCTAAAAAACGACTTACAAAGGATACTTCCACAGAGCAGCGGAATAAGGCTGCAGGCCAAGGACGATATGAGTAAGGGACGTGGTGTTGATCAAGATCGCTGTATAGCCAGCGTTATAGGCGGCATCGCGACCCTGCAGGAAGAAGAAGTCGGCTGCAATCACTGAAGGCTGCACCGACTTGATGATTTGCATACAGCACTGATAGATATCAACGTATTCGTCTTCGGTCCAGCCCCAGATGTCTTCACACAGGGACTGGAAGCCAAGCACAGCACCGCTGTATCCAGGAGGATGGAACGCTCCTCGCTTGCCCGTGCGAATAAAAACATCTGTATTGGAGGGGCCGCGGATGGGATGAAAATGTATGCGAGATCGAAAGGAGTCATTGTATGAAGGGGCATTATCGTGCAAGAGTTTATTCACACGGCTTTCCAGCGCAGGGAATGAGGCAATATGGACGTGCACGTCTCCTCGGACAAGCAGCTCATGGGTGATGGCCAGGATGATGTTTGTCTGGCCATGTTCGCTATTAGCGAGGAATAATACCCGAGTAGGAGTAGCCATAGAAGGCGTGTTGAGAAGAAGATGTTAGGGATGGAAACAAGGTTGTACGTAGTGGGACAGGTTCTTATATGCCAATCAATGTACTGAATCAACCCGTGTGATTCAGGTAAGTGACCGTAATATGTAACACCAGTGTTCAGTAGAACCCCTGACCAGTTTGATCAGTAATGTCGTGATCAAAATTCGGGATCTGATTTTCTCGACTTTGTATCCAGGGTTCGTTTCAGGTGTCCATCACAAGCGGATCCACCACGGCCAGACTAAGAGCAGATCGGCATCGAGTCTTCACATCGACCATCAAACTATAGGGAAGAGATAGAGCGAGGGCAATCCGGACGAACGCCGAGGAAGTATCACATTCTGAGCAATTTCCACCCGAAACTCAGGTGAGCAAGTCTTTGCAGTGCTTACCCAAATCCAGCCCTAGCTGATCTGATGCCGACGATGAGATGCTAGAGAGATAAATAGTAGAAGATGTTCTGTAGACTGGCTAGGGCCATCATCCCAAATACACTCATTCACTGCATTCCCAATATGGTCCTCGTTGCGATGTCGTTACCTTCGGGGCCTTTCCCTGAACTCTCCTACCCTGTCGTTCCTTTTCCCGTTCTCATTGTCATTCTCGGGCCCTTCCTTGTACTACTGGCAATACGTCTGGCGCCAAAGGGACCGGCCATCAGAGGAGTACCTGGATCATTCGTTGACCTATATCTCTGCGGTGTAAGTCCCTACCCTGCCAACTAGAATCGCATCTAACATCCGCAGATTGGCACCAAGCTGGCCTTTGTCGCCGGTCGAAGTGCACACTACTTTCATTCCCTTCATCAATCTTATGGTAAGGAATTGCATTCCGTGTGCATGATTGAGTGATTGAGTCTAACAAACCAGGCAACATCGTCCGATTCGCCCCCGGTCAAGCCACCACCAACACTGTCAAAGCCCTTCGTCAGATCTACGGCACCGGGACTGGCAAAGGCGCTGCGTTTCTCAAAACAGGCTTCTACAAGAATATCTCCCGTCGTAATATCTTCACCGCCGCAGATCCCGTCTACCATGCCTCGGTGCGCAAGCTATTCGGCCCCTCGTTCACCCCTGGCTCTATGCATGTCCATGCAGGGGTCATCCGCGAGTGCATCCTGCGCTTGCACGAGGTGATCCGAGGCAAGCTGGAGACAAAGGATACCCTCTCCCTGAATGAGCTTCTCTACTGCCACTCGGTAGATACCGTCTCCGAGGTCCTATTGGGCAAGCCACTAGGCTGCCTGAAACGCGGGAAACCCTACTTCTGGACCGAGCAACTGCCGCGTATCTTCTACTGGGCAACAATCAGGGACCAGTTCGAGGGCTCCGGCGTCCCAACAGCAATCAAGTGGCTGCTGCGTCGGTTTCTGCGCAAGGGAATCCGTCTGCGCGCCGAGGAAGCCCGCATGCGACTCATCAACGAGTAGGTTTCGTTTCCGGTAATTGACGTGAGACAAGCTAACGTATCAGACAACTGCGCGCATCACACACCCGCCGCGATATCATGGTTGAGGTGATGGAACGATCAGGGGGCAGCGATCTCCCCGAGGCTGAGATTGCCGAGAATTTCTCGGCGATCATGTTGGCGGGCTTTCACACAACGCAGAACGCCCTCTGTGCGGTCATTTACTTGGTGTTGACCCATCCGGAAACGCATGTGAAGCTGGTGCACGAGTTACAGACGGCATTTGCGTCGGCCGAGGATATCTCGGGGGATGTGGCAGCACAGCTGCCCTATCTCAATGCTGTAATTACGGAGGCGTTGCGTTTGTATCCGCCCGTGCCATTGGGGGGTCCGCGCGTTTCACCAGGGGCGTACGTGGATGGGGTGTATATCCCTGCCGGGGTGAGTACAGTTCTCCATTTTGAGACTTTTAGTCCGTACGCTAATGCGATGCAGACTGAGATCTGCACGTCGTTGTTTGCTCTGCATCACAATCCAGAGTACTTCAGCCACCCCTACGAATTCATCCCGGAGCGATGGACGGAACCTGGATCGGCGGACCGGAAAGAGGCGGTTCAGCCATTCCTGGTGGGAAGTCGGGCCTGTATCGCCAAGTACTTTGCCAAACAGATGCTCCAGTTGACTCTGGCCGGTTTCTTCTTAGAGTTCGAGGCCGAGTATGTGGGCAACGTCAAGGATTGGCAGCGGCAGTCTCGGTGTTATGCCTTTTGGGAAGTGCCGGACCTCAAGTTGAAACTGAGGAGGAGGACGCCAGTTTGATAAAT